TGGATGTTACAGATTGAATATGTGTTCCCCCCACCTCCTGGCCCCAAATTCATACGCTGAAGCCCTAATCTCTAATGTGATGGTATTAGGAGGTGGGGCTTTGGGAGGTAATTAGGTTTAGATAAGGTCGTGAGGGTGGAACCCCCATGATAGGTTTGTTTGTTTATTTATTTATTTATTTATTTATTTATTTATTTATTGAGATGGAGTCTTGCTTGCTCTATCGCCCAGGCTGGAGTGCAGTGGCACAATCTCAGCTCACTGCAACCTCCGCCTCCTGGGTTCAAGTGATTCTCCTGTCTCAGCCTCCCGAGTAGCTGGGATTACAGGTGTGTGCCCCCACGCCTGGCTAATTTTTGTATTTTTAATAGAGACAAGGTTTTGCCGGTTGCCCAGGCTCATCTCAAACTCCTCACCTCAAATGATCCGCCAGCCTGGCCCTTCCAAAGTGCTGGGATTACAGGTGTGAGCCACTGTGCCCGGCTGGGTTTAATGCCTTTATAAGAGGCAGAAGAGACACCAAAGTTTCCTCTCTCTAACACGTGAGGACATAGCAAGAAGGCAAGCGGGGAAGAGGGCCCTCACCAGGAACCAAATAGGCCAGCACCTTGATCTTGGACTTTCCAGCCTCCAGAACTGTGAGAAATAAACATCTGTTGTTTAGGCTGTGGTACCCAGGCTGTGGTATTTTGTTATAGCAACCCGAGCAGACTAAGACAGAGGAGATAGGCATGGCCAATCCTGGAGGACAGACTGACAAGTGATCCGGAGTCTGCCAAAGTGGTGAGGTGACTGCCCTGGAGCCAGCTGGGGAAGGGGTGCACAGGTAAAGGATGCCTGCCACACGTATCCTCCTCCCCAAGATCACCCTGGCTGCAGTAAGCCAGACGTGGCACTCTGGCCTGAAGACAGAGGTACAAGCCAAGGCATATATCCACTCAGGCAGCTCAAGCATAAGCATTTGCAGAGCCCAGACCCTTGAACTCGTGCTGTGTCCAAGTGAGTGAGAGTTACCCCCAACCAGCATGTCAATACAGCATTTCTGATAGCTTAATCTCATATAATCTGGTGAAAGAAATTCTACGCCAGTCAGCAGGAGTGAGCTGCGCAAGCCTGCTCTCAGAACCAGATCTGGCTATGATGACTCCATAAACATGAGTTCTGGAGCTTCTCAGGGCATCTGGTCGACCCTACATATGTGTGAGAGATGGGTAGGGGTAAGAGAGAGGGTTGGAGAGCACACTGAAGAGGAGAAATGGCAAATGGCACCCACAGGGAACAGACTTGGTCTGGAGCTTGGTTGCCCTGCCTAGATGGCACCACTCACCCTGGCCAGTCCCAACCACTGGAGAGAGACTTGAAAAATTTCAAGGTAGAAAACTGTGGTCAACAAGAGTCATGTAGGATCTGGTCTAGACAGAGACACCCTTCCTAAATGGCATTGCTAGCCCCAGAGGGCACTTAAAAACTTTTGAGGAATACAGTCCAAAGTGCAGGACCCTTTTAAGGCACAGGGTCTGGCACAAGGGGCCCCACTTGCTTGACTCTAATGGTGTTACTACCATCTACCACTGGATACCATCCACTAAGACTTAACAGTAGGAGCAAGAAGGTGGGTTCAGCACTGAGCCAATGAAGCTTCTGTCCATCCCCTCATCCATCCATCCATCCATCCATCCATCCATCCATCCATCCATCCGTCCATCCAACACATGTTCATTGAGCACTTACACCATGCCAGTATTGTGTTAGGTTCAGGAGAAACAGCAATGGATCTGACCAACTGTTTCTACCCCAAGCTGGTACTGCACAATTAAAAAAGAAGGAAAAATAAAACCAGAAAAAAAAAAATGGCCACAGACGTATCTCACGTAAAGCTGTTCAGTTACAAACTTTTCTCAATTATGGTTCTTGAAAAGTGTTCCAGTTACTGTGACTACATACAATTTACCCCAAAACTTAGTGGTTAGGGGTAAATGACAATATTTATTTTACTCATGAATCTGCTATATGGACTGCTCAATATTTTTCATGGATCCACATCTCTTATGGGTGCTCTCAATAGGGTTAGTTTGTCCCTGCTCAGCTTGGTGTTAGGTGGGGGTGGAGGCTTGAAGCCTGGGGACCAGAATCATCTGAAGGCTTCCTCAATCTGGCTATTGATGCTGACTGACACCAGAAACTTAGCTAGGGCTGGTAGCTGGAACACCTCTTCATGTTTCCTTTATGTGGCTTGGGCTTCCTCCCAACATGGTGGCTGGGGTCCAAGAGTGAGTATTGTGATAGGTAGCAAGCCAGGTAGAAGTTACGTCTTCTTTATGACCTAGCCCCAGAAATCACATAGCATCACTTTTGCCCTATTGGGTTGGAATGGTCACAGACTCAGCCAGACTCAAGGAGAAGGAACATTGATTCCACTTCTTAGTGGGAGGAGTGTCAGTTACATCATAAGGAGAACCACGGGATGGGTCATATATTTTGGTATGGCATCTCCCAGGGTGATGCTTTCAGGGTAAATAAAACAAAACAGATTGGTGAAGTCATCTTTGGAAAAAAGTGTGTCACAAAAGCTTATACCACTGCTCCTCTTTTTTCCAATTCTGTGCCTTTCCAAACGTACTATACAAAATGCTATTTTGACATTACAGTTTCAGACGAAGACATTCCCCAATTTAGTCGGTGTTTCTAGTGAGAGATCATGCCGAGGAACAAATTTGAATTGTGTACTGTGTTTGGAGAATCCAAAATGTTTTACTATGTCTAGCATTTCATGTGTCTTTTAGGTTTATTACACATGTGTGCTTTTCTCAAATGTTTCAAAGTGTTCTAATGTTTAGTCTTTAATTTTCCCTCGAGGTATATGTGTGTATGTGTGTTTTATTTTTAAGGTTGTTTAAGGGAAGCCCTCAAAAGTTTTAAAACATCAGCAAAGAGTGCAGGAAAAACATATCTTTTATACCAGGCACAGTGATATGTGCCTTTAGTTCCAGTTACTTGGGAGGTTGAGGCAGGTGGATCGCTTGGGCCTGGGAGTTTGAAGCCAGCTTAGGCAACATAGCGAGGCCCCGTCTCTTAAAAAAAACAAACCGTCATTTAGAGAATGACTCATTTGCATCTCTCCTCCATCAACTTGCACCTAATATTAAATCTTGTCTTTCTGTCCAGAGCAGTAAGTCTTAATGCATTACATTTTATGTAAAAACCATATTTTAAGCAAATTTATTGTTCGTATAATTTTCTGTTGCATCAATATATTTTTTCTGTTAACAATATTTAGGTGCCTTAGGTTGGAATTGAACACAATTTTGCCCATTTTAATTATTATTATTATTATTTTTTTTTTTTGAGACGGAGTCTCGCTCTGTCGCCCAGGCCGGAGTGCGATCTCGGCTCACTGCAAGCTCCGCCTCCCGGGTTCACGCCATTCTCCTGCCTCAGCCTCCCAGTAGCTGGGACTACAGGCATCCGCAACCACGCCCGGCTAATTTTTTGTATTTTTAGTAGAGACGGGTTTCACCGTGTTAGCCAGGATGGTCTCGATCTCCTGACCTCGTGATCCGCCCGCCTCGGCCTCCCAAAGTGCTGGGATTACAGGCGTGAGCCACCGCACCCGGCCACCCATTTTAATTAATGGGAAAAATTTAATAGCTTTCCACTTAGAAGCAGAATTTCAGGAATGAATTGAAACCAGTAGGAGGGTGATAGCTATATTTTAATCATCTCCCCAAGGGCTTTTGGACAGCTTTCCCATCCTCTGTGCCTGTCACTTTTCCAATTCCCATCACCCGTTGTTCTTCCAATTAGTCACCCCTCCCTTGTCTGTTACAGGTGTTCAGTATTGTGTTAGAATGCATCTGGTTGCAAGTAACAGAAAACTCAACAAACTCTGGTATACATAAGATCCCTCACCCCCATAAGACAGGAAGGTAGTACAGGGTTTGTATAACTGCTTGAGTATGACCTAAACAAGCAGGCTCCTGTCTTTCTGCTCCACCTTCCTTAGCACAGTCCTCCTCATGGCCTCTAGGCTGCTGTGCCCCCAGGTGTTACCCAGTTCCAAGTATGAAGCAGGGGAAAAGTGAAGGACACAAACTTCTCCAAGGGAAGAAAGAAGGGAAGGTCTCCTTTGATACTTCTGCCTACATCTTATTGGTCAGGACTTTGTCTCACTGCCACCCTTAGCAGCAAGGGAGGTTGAGAGCTGTGTGCTTTGCTTTTCAGCCCCTGTAGTATAGAAAGGCAAGGGAGTGGTTGAAATAGATCTTGAGTTAGCCTACTATATAATTTGTCACACTGTGTTTAATTGAAATGTATTGCTTGGATCCCCAATGTCCTGGACATAGCCTCGTTCCTGCCCTAGCACATTCTTACCCTCCTTTTCCCTCTTCCTTCCTGTAGCTATTTTCCTGGGGAGTGAGGTGTGGTCCTGAGGAAACACTCTTCAGTTTTACCCTTTCTGTGAGGATACTAGTTCCCTTATCACTCATTCCTCCATAGTCTCTTCTAACTGAAGTGAGGAGTCAGAATCTTCTTTGCTCCTTTCTGCTTTTCAGACAACCGTGCCTTCACCTCTACTCAACACCCTGACCCCTCTCTCTCTGAATACCCAAGGTCAGCCTCAAGGCCAGGTCCTCCGTGAAGAATTCCACCATCCCTCCCTCCTCTCTCAGTCCAAGTTTCCTCCTTTACACTCTCAAAGCACTTAAGCTGTACCTCTCCAATGGTATTAGTTTCTTCGTTGAAGTGAAAACAAATTACTGAAAAGGGTACTGTTTACAAAACGTCTGGCGCATTGCAGGTGCTCGAAGTAGTATCTCTTCCTATTATTATTACTGTCTTATCTCTATGAGATTCAGTTCTTTAATGAGAGGCTCTAAATCTTATGTTCGATTCACCTTTGTAACCCACACCAAGCCTGGAATAGAGTACTGCTCATAATTAATGCTGTGCCCGTGTAATAAGAGTGCGGCGAGTAAAGAACATCATGTCAGAGGAAGGGTGCTGTAATGGTGGAATGGGAGAAAATCCTAGAACCTGGGTGGGAGCCAGAATCTTGCAGAGAAGCCCCTTACTCCATCTGTACCGAAAGCAGGTAGAGAGGATGTCGTAAGATTCCTAAGGACGCAGGTGGAGCGCCTCCTCTGTGCTGCGATGAGGTAGGCGCATTCGTCAGTTCACTTCTTCCTCTCCACTTGATCCGGAAAGGAAGGACGGAATGCGTCCCGCGCGGCGAGCTGGGATAGCTGCGCAGGCGCAGCTTCCGGCTCTGTGTCTCGGGAATTATTTGACGCCACCGGTTCAGCCCCGCAGAAAGCGCTGATTAGGCACACCGCGCACGCGCAGTGGCCCACTTGGCAGGGGAGTTATTTGACGCCGCCGCCCCTGGCAGTCGGAAGTTGCCTGAGCAGAGCCCAGCCGGCTGGCCCGACTGGCCTTCGTCGTCCCTTGACGCCCTGGGAGAGTCGCTGACGGGTGGACTGACGGACCGTCTGAGGACGGCCGGCCAGGGCGGTGAAAGCGCCGGCCCTATGGCACGGGTCGCGTGAGGCGGAAGGCCGAGTACGGCCGGCGGCGGCGCCCGCCCCGGCGATGCGGGCCCCGCCCGTCGCCTCAGGTAACCGGGCAGTTGGCCCCGTCGCGGCCGGACCCTCACCTTTCCTTCCCCTCTCTTCCCCTCCCGGCGGTCCAGGGACGGCTGAGGCTTGTTTCTTGGCTCTGGGTGCTCCAGGGGCCCGGCCTTTGGAAGCGCATCTGCAAATGTTTGGGAGACCCACGGGGGCGGGGAAAGCTTGGCCCTGGAGTGGGCGGTTGCTGTCGAGTGTGTAAACCCGGTCTAATCCTTGGGAGCTTCCCCGGCCGGGCAAAGCTCTCCTGGCAACCTGGGGGAGGGGGCGGGTCTGGAGCGGAGCGAGACAACTCCCGCAAAGAATTTGGTCCAGCAGAAAGGTTAGGCGAGTTGCTGCCGCCCAGTGGGGACGATGCTGCCCATTGCACAGTGACACTTTGATGAGGAAGAGTTGATGATGAGAGTAAACAGCTAACCCCCATTAAGCGCTTCTTATCCGCCAGGCATCATGCCAGGCCATTACGTTCACCACGTCTAACTTCACAGCAACCCTATGAGGTAGGATTATCGTCCCCATTTTACTGACGAGGCAGCTGAGTCCCTGGGTGGTTGGGTGACTTAATTACCCAAGGTCACATAGCTAGTAATTTGAACCGAAGCATCCAACTCCAGAGACCCAAGTGCTTAACAATTAGGGCAGTGGCTCTCCAACTTTGCTACACGGTAAAATCACCTGGGGACTCTTGTAAAGGTTTCTGATGCCCATGTGGCATCCCAGACCAAAACAGTCAGAATATCTGGAGGTGAAAGCCAGACTTCAATATGTTTTTTAAAGATGGCCAAGTGATTCCAGCGTGCAGCAAAGTTTGGGAACCGCATGTAATTTGATAATTCTGCATCTCAAAAAGCATCTCTGTTTCTCCAGCTTAAGTGTGCAGGAGAATTGTCTGGGAGCTTGTTAAACATGCAAGTTCCACCCGCAGAGATCTTTAGGTTCACTGACCACTACACCTTGTGAAAGACTGTTAGGGGTGGGACGTAACTTTCTCTGCAGGGATTCTGAGTCATCTGAAACATTTAAAATGTATGCATCTTATGCAAACTACTCTTTGGAATTTTACTAAGTATGCAATACTTATAGGTGTAGCGTTTCTAACCTCTGGGTCGTTTTTACATATGCTATTCATCTGCCTAGACCGTCCTCTGAACTTTCTGGCCACCCCACCCAAACGCACACACTTCTGCTCTCTCCTGTATACATATACACACCCCTTTCTTTCTTTCTTTCTTTCTTTCTTTTTTTTTTTAGACAGTCTTTCTGTGTTGCCCAGGCTAGAATGCAGTGGCATGATCTTGGCTCATTGCAGCCTCCGCCTCCTGAGCTCAAGCAATCCTCCCACCTCAGCCTCCCAAGTAGCTGGAACTACCACGCCAGGCTAATTTTTGAATTTTTTTTTGTAGAGATGGGGTTTCTCCATGTTGCCCAGGCTGGTGTCAAACTCCTGGACTGAAGCAGTCCACCCACTACGGCCTGACATAGTGGTGGAATTACAGATGTGAGCCTCCGTGCCAGGCCTACATACCCTTTTCTTCCTGTCTCTGGCTACATTAGCTTTAAGCATTCCCTTCAAGATACCTCTGTCCCTGACCCCCACCCACCTTGAGTCCTTCCAATTTGCTCTTTAGGAACATCGTAGTGAAACTTACCAGTTATTTTTCTGAGTTGTAGTTCTGTCCCTACTTCTATATTATGAGAAGCTTTAGGGCAGGGACCATGTTTTCTTCATCTCTGTATTCCTTCCAGTGCTTTGACATACAGACTCACAAAGCTTTTACTCAGTGGAATGTTTGGGTCCTTTTATGTCATAGATAGATCATGTTGCAAACAGATTCTTCTCTATTTCCATTTTTGTAAAAGATAGTTCCTAGCTTATAGAGTTTTGTTCTTTTTGCTTAGGAATGAATATTCAGTAATTTGTCCAGCAGTTGAACACACACATTGAGTTCTTACCAATTGCAAGGCACTCTGTAACTAACCATGTGCAATCAACATTGCTTGATTTTTAATGTCTGATTCTATCACAATCAGATGCAATCAAGTCTGTAGGGAAAGTCTTTTTATTACTATTAGACCTTTGCATGTGTTCCCTACTTCATTGTCCAAAAAAGTGTTTAATTGTCATCCACTAAATGCCACTGCCTTGTTGGTATTTGGTAAATACAAGTAGATGAGATTGCCATTGGTATTGGTTGGTCCTGTTCACCAGGAGAGATGACATAAGTACTTAATGAAGAGTAAAATAATGATGTCACAGGAATTGACAAATTTAGCACATATTTATTGCAGAATGACTGAACTGCCATTGCCCATTTGCTATATTTACAAGTTTTAAAGGAAGGCAGGCTGATAATTCGGATTGAATTTGTTCTTGGTTGGTCTTAAAACCATGTAAGGGTTTGCAAAAGTTAGTGAATATGTGTGTGAAGGTCATTATGAAGAGGTTTTTGGACAATAAAGATTTTTTTTTTTAAATAGCGGTTAAACATGACAAAGTATGTAGACTGAATTAAAAACACATTTCATAAAATATTCTTTTTTCTTTTTTTTTTTTTTGAGATGCAGTCTCGCTCTGTCCCCCAGGCTGGAGTGCAGTGGCACAATCTCGGCTCACTACAACCTCCGCCTCCTGGGTTCAAGTGATTCTCCTGCCTCAGCCTCCTGAGTAGCTGGGACTATAGGGGCCCACCACCACACCTGGCTAATTTTTTTGTATTTTTAGTTGAGAGAGGGTTTTGCCATGTTGGCCAGGTTCGTGTCGAACTCCTGACCTTAAGTGATCCGCCTGCCTAGGCCTCCCAAAGTGTTGGGATTACAGGCATGAGCCACTGTCTCCGGCCCGTAAAATATTCTTTATAAGAATTGTTATAGAGAAATTTTCTTGGTTCTGTTTTGTATTATTTGCTCGGTTTTTAGGCTTAGCACTAATAGAAACTGATGGGACAATTTATGTTAAATTCAGATACTCAAGAAACTTGTCCTTGTGTCTCTGATCAGATATGGACACAGTATCCAATTCTTGCTTTAGCACATGGCAGAAACTCAATCTTTAAGGCTGAAGGTTTAAGTCTGTAGTTGTGCCCCAAAGTAAAGGTAAAAAATTCCACGTGCTTAGAGAACAAAAGTGACTCTAATCATGATAGTTTGGGACCTAGAAATGGATTCTGTTTAATACAAGGTACTCATCAGTGTTAGCAGATGTGTTTCCTGATGTGTGCAAAGACTTTTTGGGCAGAATACTTGATTTTCTTTGGTGCGAGATGTTTTAAGTTTTAAAATTAAGGCACATGGAGTTTCATTTTATTATAGATGGGGAAAGTAACTTGGCCAAGGCTACATGGTTAGCTTCTAGCCCTCCGAAAGCAGGCCTCCTTCCTCTGGACAGTGTCCCCTTTCACCCCAGACCCCTGCCCCATGAGAAAGGTTGTCTTGTGAATTGTTGTGTTGTGTTTGCATGTCTGTGTGTGTGCATGGGATAGGGAAGGGGAGAGAGTGATCTGTTGTGTTTGAGAAACTCAGTTAGATATCTAGAGGTCCCTCGACTTACTATGGGATTACTTCCCAATAAACCTATCAAAGTTGAGAAGATCGTAAGCCAAAAATGCATTTAATATACCTACTGAACAGAATAGCTTAGGCTCATCTACCTTAAACATGCTCAGAACATTTACATTAGCCTACAGTTGGGCAAAATTATCTAGCACAAAGCCTATTTTATAATAAAGTGTTGAACATTTCATGTAATTGAATACTGTACTGAAAGTGAAAAACAAAATGGTTATGTGGATAATTCAAAGTACAGTTTTTACTGAATGCATATTGCTTTCACACCCTGGTCAGTTGAAAATCATAAGTTGAGGATTGTCTGTATAGTGAGTACTTAGTGTGTGAAATGCACTTAGCTATATAAACTGGGAATACAAAGATAAATAAGACATGGCCTCTATCCTCTAGGAGTCTAATCAAAGTTATAATAAAAATAATAGTGTAGTATCTGAAGCAGCTCTGTCAAATAGAATTTTCTGCTATCATGGAACTAAATCTTATCTACTCTAATATGGTAGCCACTGGCCACATGTGACTCGTAAGCACTTAAAAAACTAAGGAAGTGGTGTTTGATTCAAATAGTTTAAACTTAAAACTATTAAAATTAAACGTTTTTTAAATTTAAATAGTTACATGAGATAGCTGCTGTATTGGACAGAGAAGATCTGAGACATAAACAATGAGAACTGTGGTGGTGCTGGTAGGGGGCAGACAGGGTATTCAAATATTCTTTGGGTAGATTACCAAAAACTACCATTTTCCATGTTTTAGGAGAGATGCAGGCAGAACTTGTCTTTCTTTCCTGTAATTCAGGTGTTTAATAGGATCTCTAATAGCATCTGGTACATAGACGAATACATTCCTTTTTTGCCAGCTTTATTGATGTTTGCCTTATGGGGTCAATCAGACTACAACAGAAATATGAAGTATAGTCCCTTTGCCTTTATTAGTCATGAGGTTAATATGGATGAATTTGGTGCACCTTAAAATCCAGCACAGTTTATTTATTTACTCAGTGTTTTAGCACCCTGTATCCTCTTTTTCTCAAGCGAAATGGGCATGTCTTATAATGTATACCTTCCAATGGTACATTTCGAAGTATGTCAACTTAGGTTGCTTTATTTGATCCTTCTCCCAGGTCACTTTAGATAGGCACTGCAGGTATTCTCCCTGTTTTACAGATGAGGAAACTATGACAAAGAAATGCCAGGTGGCCGGGTGCGGTGGCTGACCTGTAATCCCAACACTTTGGGAGGCCGAGGTGGGAGGATTGCTTAAGCTCAGGAGTTTGAGACCAGCCTGGGCAGCATAATGAGACTTTGTCTCTATAAAAATTTTTAAAAAAATTAGTGGAGCGTGGTGACACAATCCTGTGGTCTCAGTTACTTGGGAGGCTGAGTGGGAGGATTACTTAAGCCTGGGAGGCAGAGGCTGCTGTGAGCCG